CGGAAGAGGAATGAGAGGTAGGTAAATTCCAACAAAATAATGAATTTGGTTTATATGAATTACAGTGAAGACTTTGAGTTCAGGTTTTAATTCACATAATAGGAATTCATTAAGATGGGTGGGGATTAGAATAATAAAATAATAAATACTGAAGACGAAAAGGAATCCAGAGAACATAGTAAAAATGGCATTAACGGAGAAATCTGCGTATATCTGATCCTCTTTGAAGTTTATTTGTCTTCTGTTTTTATTCTATCTGAAGCTACTCAATGAAGTTTCTGAAAAAATGGAGTCAAACCAGGTTTCACACAAAAGAGTCCAAGACACCTGTTAGCTTTCCCCCTATTAAATCCCTGCTAAAACGGAGTTATCTGGCTCTGCTTACCTGCAGCAGTGTAATGGCTGACATTAGCCCAGGCCTGTGGTTTGATGTGCTATCGCTTCCGTCAGTAAGTTTAATTGCCAGCAAATGGCTAAATAGGGGTTGAGGGTGAATGTTACATCTGTCTGCCACGTTAGTGGTAAGAGGAATTCTGGCGCCGTTTCAGGGTCACTATTTGTATCTGTCTCTCAGAGGTAGAATACAGCAGTTTCTCTCGGTTTCTGTATAGCATTTCTGCCAATTGTTTGGCTCCATTAAGTGTGCAGGGGAAATAAAAGCCTGAATGACCAAGTCACAAGGGGGTATGGATAGACCCTTTCTTTGTCCACACTCAGAACATTGCATTAGGTCTCATTATCCATTTATAATAAGTGACCTTTGCCCCCCGGGTCATTGAAAAATACTCAGTGTGCTTTTTAGCACAGAGTACCTCTGTCAGCAGACGGACAGAACAATGAAGCGTCTGGCGCGCTGCTCGGAGGGCTGCACTTGTGCAGGTTTTCAGAAAGATGCAGCTTGATGCCAAAACACAGGACCAAAATCTTCCTTAGCCTCTGAAAAGTATAAAGTAAGCCAGTGAGTTCTTGCGAGGAAAAGAGAGTATTCTAAAAGTACTGCATTTAATTATTTACACATAGTTCACCTTCTAATATTTTTTTAAAGAATCTTAAAGTTATATTCACAGCTAATAAGGAAGTAACAAGGCGCCATTGTTTGCAGAAATATTTTGTACAACAAGTGTCCAAGACCTTTATCCCAAGGGTATTTGTAAGTGGATTAGCACAGCTGTTTCATTGCTTTGAGGTCATCTGTGACATCTGCTGCAGAAACCTGGATCAGAGTGTGCAGCTCCTGTCTACCTGAGCACTTTATCGTGGCTGTGGTTGGTACAGAGAGGTGAGCAAGTGGGTAGCGAGAGATTTGGACCTTTCTGTAAGTTCATGTGTTGAAAGTGAACTTGCACGTTGAATTCCACAGCCTGCAGCCTGCGGAAAGGGTCTGTACCCTGCTCGTGCTGCAGGCTGTTTGCAGTTCATCAGAGTAAAAACAACCGGTCCCAAGAATCTCCTCACCTTCTGACAGAGCAGATTGCAGACTTTTGTTTTCATCAGAGTTCATCCTGCAAAACCCCGGATGTATTGCAGTCCTCAGGTCTTCAGTGCTGGGTGTTAGGTGCTGGATGTTTCTCTCCTACCCTTCTCAGATTTAATACATAATATTTTACCTTTTGTGTCTCCAGTATTTCCTATTTATTTGCCTGTGTTCTGAGCAACTCTTAAATCTAATCACAACAGAGGAAGGAAATGTAAGTTGCATTTTATTCTTCCTAGATGTTTTTCCTATACCATAAATACCATCACCTGGTATAGTTTGGCTGTTGTAGCAGACCTGGCAGTGGAGTTGTGTGCGGCACTGCCTGCACGCACAGGAGGGTTTCTGGGCCCCACAGGAACTTGGGATGTAAAGGATTTGGCTTTCTTCAGAATTGCCAAGCTTCGTCTTTACTTATTCTTTAAGTACTACTTGCTTCCTGTTGATTAGTACTTAGGAATTAAGAATCTCCTGTAGTACAAACTCTTGAGGCGTGCTGTTAAGATGTACTTTTTGTGTCCATCACAGTCAGCTGTTTGTGTTCAGGGCTTTTTCCAATGAATACCTTTCTCTACTACCGTAACTCAGTGTCTTACATATTCGATTGACTTAACTCATGTTTCATTTGTCTGTCTTCTGTAACTTCCATTTTTGCATGTTTAATTCATAGGCACACGTGCATGGTAATACAATGGAACTGCAATGAACAAAGATAACTCTGCATAACAGCAGAAAATCTTACATCTCATTTCATACTTCTGACTTCCTTTCCTCCTTACCCCTCCTCTTTGAATTCACTGTTTCACTGCACTGGAGGAACTGACTGTAGCTGAGATATCTGAAACATGGACAATTAACACATCAATGAAAAAAGGTGGAAATCAGACCAAAAACTGCCCCAAAAAGGTATTGAATACAACGAGATTTGATTTCTCTCCTCTGGCTCTGGAAGGGGCACCTTCACATTCCGGGCAAGAGTTTTGGCTCATCAGGACCAATTTCATGGAGATGACCTGCAGTTGTCAGAAGCAGGACAATGACAAGAATTAATGTATTAACTGGTATGCAGTACTCTTTGACAAATTGCTTACTAAATACATCAAAATTGATTGGACATTCTGTGTTTAAATTGACAAATGACTGCATTAGGGGAAGGAGGGAAATCCATTAATTACAGCTGCCCTCAACCATAGGAAATGTAATCATATAAATATAGATTTTGTTAAAACAAAAGTCTCTACTTTACTATAGTGTTGCTGGTAAGTGTACTTGCACCTCCTTGCTATTAAACCTCCAATAGGAGGTTTTGAAGACAGATCTTTGCAATTGGCTTTTAAATAATCCAAGACCATTTCTGCTGTGTTAAAAGGAATGATGCAGGGTTTCTGTATCCCACTCTGACCGCTTCTGGAAATTGTTTCTCTCTCAGAAAAATGGACATGTAGCTGAGGCTTCTGCTGTCTCATTAATTGTTTATTCTAAATGCAATGTAATTCATATTCCGTGATGGTGGGATTTGAACCAGTACTCTGTATTCTTGTTCTTTGTCCTGTACTGGTTTCCAAGTAGTATTTACAGGGCTGTTACTTATTTC